CATCCTGTTCCAATGCAAACTCTTCCGAGGAGACCCAAACTCGATCTCCGGCGCGGATGGGACATGGTACGAGGCGCCTGTTGGCTTGCTGCTGCRTGCGGACTTGAGCCTTTTGCATGTTTGTGCGGGCTTGAGCCAGCAATTCCCTGTACTTCCAGACGGAAGCGGGAGAGCAAGCGGCGTCAATGTCGGCTGGTCGAGGGAGGAGAAGATCAGCGAAGATACAACCTTTCCGTCCACCGTGGTGCAACTCGAATGGAGTCACACCGATCGCCGGGTGCACTGAAGTGTTGTAGGCGAACTCGATGTCGGGGAGGCGGTCAACCCAATCCTAATGGTCCGGACAGATGAGCGGACGAAGCATCATTTGAGCGGTCTGATGTGCCCGCTCCGTTTGCCCGTCTGTCTGTGGATGCCGAGCCGAACTGGGTTTCATCGTCGTGCCGGACTCCTGCATGAGAGAGGTCCAAAAAGTCGACATGAAACGAGTGTCGCGGTCGCTGACTATGTCCTCGGGTACGCCGTGGCCACAAATCCAACCGGTGTGCAAGAGGCGTGCCAGCTCGGGAGCCGTGGAGTAGTACTTGCAAGGAAGAAAACGTGCGTAATTGCTCAATCGGTCCACAACCGAGAGGATGCCGTCGTGCCCGAGCCGGTCTCGAGAAAACGGACCGGTGACATCCATAGCAATGGAGATACCAGGTTCCCGGGGGATAGGCATCGGGCGTAACTCGCCATAGGGATTGCGGTTGCGGGGTTTGCTGCGTCGGCAAACTTCGCAAGAATCGCAATACCGCATGACATCGGAAATGAGGTCGGGCCATCGGAATCGTAGTCGAAGCCGTGCAATCGTGCGATTGACTCCGAAATGGCCGACGAGTCGCGAATCATGATACTCGCCAGGAAGGCGAGTCCAAAGACGGCGGTCGCGTGGGACACACAGTAAGTCCTTGCCTCTCGAGTGGAGGAGAAAGTACCCGTCGGCAATGCGATAGTGGCTGGCCGACGGGTGATCCGAAGATAGTTGCGCATACAACGTAGCAAACTCTGGGTCAGACTGATAGCCCTTGATGAAGTGTCGTTGGAGGTCCTCGTCGAACGCGAAGGCGTGATGCGTCATAGCGCAAAGATCAGGTCGTCGCGAAAGTGCATCTGCTGCGCGATTGGAGAGGCCGTCAACGTGTTTCGGTGTGAAGTCAAAATGGTCGATGAAGTACATCCACCGTCCAATCGTGCTGCTCACCGTGTCCTGCGTCTTGTAGTAGGTCAATGGGTTATTGTCCGTGACCCATGTGAACYTACGACGCCCAAGAAGGAAGTGYCGCCATCGCTTGAGAGCCATGACGAACGCAAGCARCTCCTTCTTCCTTGCATCATCCAWAGAATTGATGGGAGRCACTTTGTGRCTGAAATACTCCACAGGGTGCCAATCCTCGCCATCGTGCTGCTCCAAGACTGCCCCAATGCCGTAACCGGAAGCGTCAGTCGTCACTCTCGTAGGCAGAGTGGGGTCGTAGATGCTAAGGATGGGTGCCATGAGCATGGCCGTCTTGAGTGCTTGGAAAGCCTGGTGCGCGTCATCATCGAATACGAATGGCACCTTTGGCGATTGTAGTCTCGTCAGAGGTGCGGCAATCCTTGAGTATCCGGTGATGAAACGCTGATAATGGCCTGCCAACCCCATGAATGAACGAACGTCCGTGGTGTTGGTGGGCTCGGGCCATACGCGGATGGCCTCGATCTTGTCCGCAAGCGGACGGATGCCTTGCGGCGTCACATAGTGTCCCAAGTACTCCAGCTCCTGCTGTGCGAACTCGCACTTGTCKCGGTTTGCTTTGTACTTGGCCTGTCGTAGCCGCTCCAAAACGGTGCGCACGTGTTCCACATGCTCGTCACGACTCCGGCTGTAAACCAGAATGTCGTCGAGGTATATAAGTACAAAACGATCCAGGATGTGTCGGAACTCCATCGTCATAGCCGCTTGGAAAGTGGCTGGGGCATTCGTAAGGCCAAATGGCATGACCAGCCATTCAAAATGCCCATACCGAGTCTTAAACGCGGTCTTGTAGCGATCCTCCTTGCGAATCTCGGGTTGGTGGTACCCTGACTTGAGATCCAACTTAGAGAAGAACTGGGCGCCGCCCAATCGCTCGAGAAGGTCGTCGATGCGTG